TTCCCTACTATTTGAATCAACTGCACGACGACCAGTTATGAGCTCGAGTAACAAAACCCCAAATGCAAAAACATCAGTCTTCTCATCCACAATTCCATGCATAAAGTACTCCGGAGCTAAATACCTGCAGCCACAAATCAAGCACTTTTTCAGAAAATGGAAATTGCTGTGAGAAGAAAATATGTAAAAAGCCACGATGCTGCAATGCCAACCCGAATGTGCCTTCTATTGGGTACACAACATGGTGAGCCCACTTATCTGGGAGCCACTTTGCCAATCCAAAATCTGAAATCTGCATTTATCACAAAAGGAGTTTTTTAATTATCAACAAAAATCAAGTTCACAATTTTATAATGTAGGGTGCCACAAAATACCTCAGCTTCATCATTGTTGTTGAGTAGTATGTTTGAAGCTTTGATGTCCCTGTGAATGATTCTTCTCGGGCAATCGTGGTGGAGGTACTTCAATCCTTTTGCTACCCCAACAGCTACTTTAAACCTTATCTTCCACTCTAAACATTCAGAACTACCTGAAATATCGAATGTCACTTTTAATAGCCTTGTTAAGACAGCAAACCTTAACATTGTGCTTAGTAAACGGTCATTTGTGATTGTAATATAGCTACAAAATAGAAGAAGAGATGAATTGAGTAGTGAGAGAGATTCAGCACTGCACCAAAGAGCAAAGAGGCAAGGCTTCCATGTGGGGCGAATTCAAGAACAAAGAATAGGCCACGGTCAATCCCAAACCCAATCATGTGTGTTGCATTAGGGTGGTTAATGTGAGCAATGATTCCAAGCTCTGACAAAAAATCCCCAGCTCTGTCCTCAACTTCCTTGTCGTTCCTCATTATCCTCTTTACTGCTACAACTTGACCATCTGGTAAGCGTCCTTTGTAGACTTCAGCATGACCACCCTTTCCAATCATGTTCTCTACAGAAACAGAAATGTAAACATGTAAAAACAATATCAAAGGTTTTTTTTTCTTTCTTTTTTCTATTTTTTTTTCCTCCAGGTGTAAAACAAACATTTCTGCTAATAATTTTATCTTGTAATGACCCGGAAGAATTGTTCTGTTGATAGGGACAAACGACTCTCTAAAGCACACAACTAACTCAGAATTTACACTTGCCAGTGAATAATAAGTTGGCAGATAACTGCAATTAAAGTTTGATGGTCATGGATAACTATAGACCATCGACTTCGACACAGACACCTAGCATGATACAGATATAAACATAAATACTAAGACATAACTAATGTCCAAAAAAAAAATAGGACATGGGAATGTGACATACGTATATAAGCTTTGTAATTTTTATATGATACACCCTTAGAAGTTGACTCATCTCTTAAAAGTTGAAATATGAAATAACTCTATGAATATGAGTTTCACAATATGTAAAAAAAATTCCATTAGAATATTTATAAATAAGTTAACTTTTAAATGTTTTTATAATATGAATGTTATATAAGTGTTTAATTAAGAATATAAATTAACTTATCCTATTAGTTCTTGATTAAATAGTGCCAAAAATGTGTTAAAATTATGTTAAAAAGATATTCAACAAAAAAAAATAATTTTTTAATTATAATACAATATAAATATATGATGTGTGTGTCTCACAAGTATTATGTCAAAAACATGTCAAGATAATATTATATATAAATATGTAGATGTTTCATAAATAAAAAACGATCGACATTGAATAAAATCAACTTGGAAGTTGGAATTAAGTCTAATGCCGAAACTTATTTTAGTCTATTCCTCATTAATTTCTTTGATAATTCGCAATTTCATAAATGAGTAATGAATCAGAACTTAGGGAGAAAAAGTTAGAAAACACACTCGAAAATAGATTCAAGAAAAAGTCTATGATCGATATACAATTTTAATTTTAGTCTATGTTCAATTTTTAATTTAATGTAATTCATAAATTTTTGTTTTACTTATTTTTAACTTTTTGAAATGTAAAATTATTGATCAAAGTTATATAATTAATTTTAACATTTCATTATCTAATAATTCATTCAATAATTATCATACAATATATTTGATCTTAAATAGAACTTAACATTTTTAATTTTGAAAATTTTCTTCAAACAGAGACAATAATTACAAGTGTTGCCAACATATTCTATATACATTTACATATATTTTAAAATAATCAATCTTTTAATATAATTTAGTATTTTTTGATAAAATATTATTTTTTGTCAGCACTTCTTTTAATTGCCAATTACTAAAAAAGATAGGCCCATCAATATAAGATCAATGCTTTCTATAGATAATATTATTTTCATGAAATACAAGTTATATATTCATTTTAATTGTAACCTTTTTTTAAATTCAAAGCAAATATAAAATCATTTTTCCTATATAACTTTGAAACAACTAATTAATAAGATTTTTGTTAAAATAAAAATAAAGTCTTACATCATTCAAATAAGAAGATCAACATAAATTTATATACACATAATTATTTTCATTGATACAGAGATCTTGGATGATATTTAAAAATAAAATTATAAAAACTAGGTTTAAAATAGACAATATCTTACTAACATAAAGACATATGTGTGTGAGAAAACCTAGTGCAGGTAAGTTTGTTAAATAATGGGAAATAATAAAATGTGTGTTTGGTGAGGAAGGATACATACCAGGATTGAAATCTTGGGTTGCAGCAGCAAGGTCAGAGTAACTGAAGTTCCTCCAAGAAGGCTTGGTGGGAATGTCATCAATAACAATGGCGCAATCGAAATCGTCGTCGTCGTCGTCTTCATTGGCGGGTCGAATACGCGCCAACTTGTTCCTGAGGCTCCTCCGAGAGATCTCGTAGCTGGCCGCAAGCAGCGGAATGCTCGAGAATCTTCTAACGGACTTGAACCTCAGCACGTCGATCATGGCCCTCCACTGCCTCTGGCCCATTCCCGGCGACAGAGGCCCGCTGTAGGCGCAGCTCCCCGTGCTGTCCGAATCCGTCCCGGAAATGGCCACCCCAAACACGTCCCTGGGCGACGCCATCACCACCTCCTCCTCGCACCCCTTCAAGGTTCCCAACATCATCGTTAGATCCACCTTTCTGTTCTTCTTCTTCTCTTTCACTTCCTCCTTCTTCCACTTCTTCTCTGATCTCTCCATTTTTTTTATTTATAAAAAACAAACAAACAAACAAACAAACAAACCTTAATTAACCTCGTACCTCTTGCATTAGTTTAGGATCTCCTGTTCTCTAAGGACAAGCCTTTTTATGTATTATTATTATTATTATGGTGTTGAAAGAGAGGGTGGCTTAAGGAGGCATGGTATGCATGATTGGTTTTCCCCCTGGAAGGGTTTATTCCTTGTCCTGTTGGATCATTCCCGCCCGCACCGAATGAGAATGTGAAAGGGGATGTGCGAATTTTCAACTCACGAGGGTTGAAAATTCCTTTCCTCCTTTTTCATTTGGGGGAGGAGAAATGAAATTAATGGGGTACGTGCTGCTGAATTGCACAAGAGGGGATTTGGATTCAAAATTGGTATATCTTTAGTGGTGGTTATTCTTAGGACCATCTGCATGGGAAAGACCAGCTCAGGGTGATTGGAATCTTTACTATATTTATACACGTGTGTCTGATTAATTTGCTTCCTTTTTATCTTTATGTTTTTGTCACTTTTTTAAGGGCCAGACCAAGTGTGTGCAATCCATGCCTTTGGTCTCGGACGCTCCACATTTTTGCAACAACCTACTACTCGTTGCATGCCAAAACATTCGATAGGATCATTCTTTTGTTATACATAGAATAGATTAACACTTGTTTAATAAACTTATATATATGATAAAAACTTCTATTATAAATGGTTAAAATTTAATAAATAATTAAATTTGAACATATATATATATATATATATATATATAAAATTGATTTCTACTGAATGAATAAAAAAATGAAAAATCTATGTTGGTGATAGGATTAAACACTAGTACTTTTAATAAATTTTTGCATAACTTAAGTAATAAGTTATACCGGTTAAGTTATAAAAAGTATGCTCAAAATATCTCATGACCTATATATCTATAAGATGTTTTGTAACTTTATTCAAACACTATCATAAATACTTGTAAAATAAAATAAGTATAAATAAATTATTTATAAGCTCTTTCAAATGAAACCTAAATACTTACAAATTGACTATTTTTATTTTAATAACCTTCAATTTGGGAGAATAAGCATCCATATATGAAAAGATAAATTAAGGATGTTTCTATTTGGTTGATAAAAAATATGGATTCAATTACTAATAAATTGTGTCCTTTAAGTACATAATATTAATATCTCTTTCAACAAATAGTTAAAATAATTTTATAAATTACTAGAATTTATCAACAAGTTGTTAGTTCGAGTGATAATGAATTTGCTCTCCTTAAGCAATTTCTAAAGTTTGAGTACTGAAGGATGATTATAATTTTCACACATGTACAATTATAATAAGAATTATTAAATTTTAATTTCTTTATAAATTTCTTATTCAAGCAAAATATTTTATTAGATCAAAAGATGATTTTAAACCCCGCAGGAATATATGTTTTAATTATAACAAGTTAGGACATTTTTTTTTATAAACAATTGTTTTTAAGATCACACTATTAAGACAATAGCATAAGACAATTCTTTATGATGATGTGTCTTTTGATAAGTTTCTTAGATGAAACACTTTGTCTGTTTAGATGAATGCATTAAATATTACATTTATTATGTTTGATGACCATATCATAGGATTCAATGATATTCCTTAACAATTAACATATTGAAGGAATATAAAATTATTTGGTACTAGGATTTCATAAAGGAATGAAGATTTACTTTTTATCTAAGAAAGGACAAAAAGATATCTTGAAATGTCTTAAGTCACCTAAAAATTCATTTCTGATTGACACACGTAATAGTTCCTCCTGTTTTGTAGCAAAAACATGATAAGTACCTTACTTGATCGGATAAAAAGTAATAATTTGGTGAAACGTATTTAATGCACACATTTAATGATTCAACGAGCACCTTATTCTACAAGGAAGAAAGACAAAGCAAGTTGATGAGTTAAGCTTTAGGATTTGCAATGGCCGTCACCTATATATAAAGAACTTGAAAAACTCAAAAAGAAACAAGAATAACTTAAACAATTATTCATTCTTTCTTTCTGTCTAAATTCTTGTGCTTAAAAGTTGTATCATATCTTGTGAAAAAGATGAATCAACTGTTATCCTTACCTAACTTTAATCGTGTGTTTTCACTTTAAGCTTAGAGAAGCTTCATTGTTGAAAAGAATACTTGGTGTTGAAGCTTGGAGAGACTTTCTTATTCAAAAAATACTTGGTTAGTTTGCTTAAAAAGACAAGTCAAAGAATACTTAGGTTAAGTCATAAGTGACTTATGAAAAAATAGTTATATCTTTGTAAAAGATAGTTGAACTTGATCAAGTTGATCAAGAATTAGATGTAGTCTCGGTGATTGAGATGAATTAGTATAAAAACATCTTGTGTTCTTTTTTTTCTCTTTTCATTTGCACTCCTTAAGGCTTATATATATTATGAAGTTAGATGAAAAACATATAGAAGGGGGGTTGAATATGTGTGTGTATGTGAACAAAGGAATTTTAAAACCATTTTCGCAAGAAGGCTCTTTTTCGTCTAGTAAAATAATATTAGTGAATGCTAAACTGGAACTGCCCAAAGTTGGTTCCACAAAATACTTTTTGCGTCTGGGATTTTATCGTCTACTTAAGGAAAATGCTTCTTAAAAGAAAATCATTCTTTAAGATAACACATTGAATAAGTGTGGTTTTCGTCTAAAGATAGTTTTAATAGACGATGAGCATTAGACGAAGTTCTCAATATTTAAAATCATTCAAATAAAGGTGTGTCTGAAACATAAAGGTAGTGTAGGTATTTTTATACTAGTTCGCTCAAATAGAGCTACGTCCAGTCTCCTTCAAATGAAGGGTTCCACTAGATGTTCAATGAAGTAGAAGTATTATTTGTTTAGCCTCTTTAGGCTCGCAGTGAGTATTATAGACCACCCAGGTCACGACCACTCCTGGTCGGCCAACTTCACTTATTGGACCTAGTATTCTTTAATCAAGCTCTTCAGGCTAGTAGTGAGTATTCTAGACCCTAGGTCACGACCACTCCTAATCCAAGTATTCTCAACCACTCATGGTTTGTCAAATTCACTCGTCAATGTTAGTATTCTTTGCTCAGCCACTTCTAGCTCTCAGTGAGTATTCTCAACCAACTCCTGGCCCGCTAGCTTCACTACCAGCGCTAGTATTCTTTGTTCAGCCACTTCTAGCTCTCAGTGAGTATTGTCGACCAATTCCTGGCCCGCTAGCTTCACCACCAGCGCTAGTATTCTTTGCTCAGCCACTTCAGGCTCTCAATGAGTATTCTTTGACAAGCCTCTCCAGGCTTTACAAGTATTCTTTCACTAGTCTCTTCAGGCTTTACATATGATAACTAAACAGATTTGGTTTGAGTGTTTGATTTAGTCTCATAGAGAGGATACATATGTTTGTACACTCACTAAGATATTAAACCTTAGTCTAACAACGATTGAGTGTTTGGCTTAGTCTCATAGAGAGGATACACAACTGAATACACTCACTAAGGTTCATGTTCTTAAGATGCACTTGGAACTCCTTAGTTTACAGAGATGAATACACTATGGTACAATTGACTCCATACCCTCTATCTCTAGTTTCGTTGCTTTGTGGGCTTGATATCACTCTTGTTAAAAATGCAAAAGCCAAACTTTCAAGGTTTGAGGTAGTGATATATATATATTGTCTCGTAGAATTTTCCCGCTACAAGTGTCGGTTGAAGCAGATATAGTCGTTCATGACTAGTTCAATTTTCTCATTTAATGCTTAAGATCTTGCATTAAATGTTGCTTCCTGTCATAGACGTTGTGTGAAGTCTTCTTTGCCTTGTTAGCAGTTGTGTTTGAGTTTAGCAGAGATCTATGAACCTTTTTGTCCTTTTCTGGTCGTGTAGTTGTAGAGTGTTGTCTTTATTTGAAAAAGTGATGTACTTTTTCTGACATGTGCATGCTCTTGCTTTTGCGTACTTTTCTTCTTCTTCTTTCATTACGCTATCATGTTGAGAACATTTATATGATCGTAGACAATGCCTGAGTTGTCCTGGGATGCATGATTCCTTAAATGTTTTCATGGCGATCTTTATCTGCGTATGTTAGTCTTATGCATCTCAAGCCGTGATCTTTGTCTAAGCATTTGATGTTGATGCTCTAACTTTCTTGCAGTCTTTGTCTAGTCAACATTGTATATGGACAGACATTGATTCCGTCTAGAATACCTTTCAGTTTGTGTTGTCCTTCGTTTGATGCATAGTTGACTTTCTTCTAATCTTTGACTCATGCTTCATCTAATTTCTTATGTTGCACTAGAGGTTGTCCTTGACATACCTTCGTCTGATGTTAGACTTATAGTCGTCTAGCACACACATTATACTTTGTCTATTCGGTTAGCTTGATTTGTCTGATTCTCATGATGTGCCTTGTCTTGACTGTTCTTTTGTTAGAGTAGACCATATGGTTTCATCTGATGTTTAACCCATTTTTGTCTTGTTCCATATTTAACCCTGTTTTGGCTTTTCATCTGATACTTCAAGTTTTAGACTTGTAGTGGTCCTCTTCTAGTGTTTGTTGAAGGTTCTTTTGTTTTTGATTAGACCTAATCTTGTTGCTTGACCAACCATCTTTTGATTTTCTTGTTTAGTTCATTCAGGCTTCGTAGATCTTGTATTTAATGCATTTGATCTTGCATTAAATGTTTGCTCGCCGAATCTATGTTACGTGAAGCCTTTCGTACCGTTTATTTACTTCTATGTCTGACTTCAATCATAACCTAGGCATATCTGTACTTTCGTGGCATTGTAGTTGCAAAGGCGTTGTTTTTTACTGACTGGTAGGTGTACTTGCTCTGACACATGCAGCTTTGACTTGTGGATAAGTGTTAGTCCATTTTTCTCTTCTCTCTTCTTCTATTTTTGATGACTTCATGTGTTCTTCTAAGAGTGCGGATGATAAGAAGTACTTCTCGTTGTGACTTAGTAGACTTCAGACGCAAATCAACATTCTTTGTTTTTGTCTAGAAATTTGAGTCTCTGTCTAAGAAATAGACTTTGACTTTGGTTGTCCATTGTCTGTAGTCTTGTATCATCTGAGGCTGCATTATTTTCCTTCTTGTGCTGCTCTTGATTTCATTTGATCTCTTCATCTGATGTCTTGTAGCTTTTACCCTTTATCTTTGTTGCTCGTGCTCTGTTCTTTATTTTTCTTTGATGCAAGGTTTGTAGTTTGTGGGTAGCTTTGTCTGGTGTACATCTTTCTTTTGATCAGACCCGGTGCTTAGCTCACTTTTGTGTTGGTTCTGATGTAGAAAGTGGTACATGCATATATTCTAGTCTTCAACTTGTTTGTACTTATGTTTTTCTGAAAGA